ATGTGCAACTGTGCCTGGTGACAAAAGCTACTCTAACACCTGTGCTCAGTATACAGGTGTCCACTATTTGACTTGTGCATCAAATATGTCAGGGAAGATTGTGGAGTCCAATCTGTCAAGTATCTACAGAATGAGTGTGTAAAAACATTTCTGGGAATTAACAAATATATGTGCTTTCTAATCCCTTCTTTGAACTACTGCTTGGGATTTTAGCAGCCCATTGAGATGCTTGCAAATCAATGTAAAACCCATATTTTGTGATCTAGGGGAGATTTGTAAATGATCAGTTAGCTTCACTCCCAGAACTTGAATGTTTGGAATGGCTTCCTATTTGGGGTCCTCTGCCTAAGCCTCCTACCTTTATTTTTCAGAGTGCTTCGTTATATGTGAGGTAACTAGTTTCTTCCATTGAATGGAAGATGTTAAAAGATTACATTAGTCAGTGAAGAGAAATTTTCCTGCTGAGAAAAAATTGGCTGTCATGGAATTTTTAGAGGTACAAACTGGAGACTGGAGCTCTTTTGTTTTGAACACCCACAAATGCATAAACCAAATTATTTGTGATTTTATTTCTCTGTCCTGATCCCAGGGTTTTAAGCCCATGGATGCCCTTGCATGAACATAGATAAGTATCTTTTTTTTCTGTGTTCTTAGTAGTATGAATTTGAAGATGATTCTTCAGCAAAAGCAAAATTAAGATCTAAAGCACAGAAAACTATTTAGAGGTAGGGTGTTATGTGTATAGTCCCAATATTCCTCTTCTCCGGGTGACACTGGCTGTTGTTAATTCTGTTCCAATTACATAGCACATTGCCTAAGGCTGGACTGAGGCCCAAGTCTACCCCAGCTTTCTAAAATCATCTAAGTGGGAGATATTTCCCAGTTGTACAGTTTATATAAATCTCTCAACTCATTCTTTTTACTTTGCCTAAGAGGAACTTGAAACATAATATTTCCATTTAATTTATTCATGGATGGAGAGAAAGTCAGAAGCTACTATTCATTTATATTTGCAACATTGCCCTCACTTAAGATATGCCTTTTATCATTGCTACTATCCTGTATCACTAGCAAAATAACAGAATCACCTTATGGTGTATTTTCCATTAAACGAGGCATCATTATACATACCATACAT